TCAACTTTTTGTACCCTTACGACCGGATGTTGCCAAAAGGCAACATGTTGGCATTCTGCTCAATGTTAGTTCTTTAAACTCCAATATGGAATTCGGTAAGCTCCACACTTAAAAGATAAAGAATATACAGAAGTAGAATTTTTTGCTTGCTATCTTCTTGTAGCCGGCTGGAAAGGGTTAACATAAAAAGCAGCTGAGTGTACTTTAAAAAGATGATTTAATGCTTCAGAATAATCATTTCCACGTTTTATCATCAATAATAATTGTTTTATGTTTTAGTTGGTCAAAAATAGAAAAATCTTACTGTAAAGTTGATAAAGTTCATCGGTGACTTGTCTTGCCATTTTTATGGAATTCAAACACAATTGAACATCATTAATAAGTTGTTCTTTCGCCTTCATATTTGAAGATATATAAATTTCAATCATATTGATATAGGGGCTAAAACTTACTAAATTTGATGTATGAAGAGTAGATATAGACGATAATGATGGTGGTGAACCAGATGAAAGCACAACACTCTCTTGATGATTACATATTTTTATACTACTCTCACGTTGAACTTCAGAGGCATAACGAGGTTGAAAGGGTTTTAATGTAATATTTCGTAGGCGTTTACTAATCCGATCAGCATATGCGATATCAGCATCTGATGCGAAACTAACATAGTACACGTTTCCCTTCAACGATCGGCGCTTGTCATAAGACATGATGCGCAAATTCGACTTTAATTCTGTAGTCAACTTATTCGTGTATAGGACGCGTTGATATTTCATGACCTAGTAGAGCAAGCATTATTGAATTATGTAAATTATCTTATTAAAAAAAAATCAATCTCATCTGACTTTTTACATAAAGAGAAACTGGTAGAAAATTAATTCTATCAAAAGGACCTAATTTCAATATGTTCGATAAGTTTATTAATTTCAAATAAAAATGAATTTCATTTTCTCCTAATATAATGCAATTCTGAAGATCTATAAATTGCTTTCAATTGTTGTCTTCACTATCTTAAAATAATTAGTCAGAATTTTCTTTTTTAATCGTTTCAATACCGACGTTTTCTTGCGTTCTGCTCGAGCAAGAAAAAAAAGATAATTTAATCTTTCTCTCTTGCGTTCAGCTGTCACAATCATATGTGTTCGAAATCTAGATTCATTATTCATAGCCATACGAATTCATTTTCCTTTGAACATGTCATATGATATTCGTCGTCTAAGAAGACGACAGAACGCAAAATATTTCTTTTTGTTCTTTATCTCATCTACGAGATGTGATGTGGTAACGATAGGGTTAAACATTGAAAAAATTTAACACGCTTTCCACTAAATATTACTTTGCTTTTCTACGACATAATTTACGTTTCTGATATATCTGATGTCACAATATTCAACGAATTTATTCAATTTAAATAAAAAATGGAAGAAAAAGTATTTTGTTATAAAATAGGCTATTTATTTTGATTCTCTCAGTTATATTCTCTCTTTCGATTTTCTATTGTACTGTGTTCAAACAATATGCTTATTTTTAAACTCAGAAAAACTTGTCTAAAACTCTCGCAATGTATATGTTCTTTTAGAGGATTTATTTTTTTTCTCTTTCATTGTTTTGTAATGTTATTGTATTCGTTCGTTATCGGAACGAGCCATAAGACGTAACAAGCGATATACTTTAATTTTCGTTCGTTCGTAAATTATGACAGAACAGAAAAAAAGCCGTCGTATACACGAACATATCCGTCAAAGTGAACGACAGAACGAAAGAAATAAATTATAATTAACGACGTAATGAACGTAAGACGTTTCTTAGGCGTTATGATATATATATATATATATATATTGAACAGAACAGGTAAACGAAATAAATGACATATAAAAGAACAGAAAAATTCTTAAATCAATAATGTCAAAATTTTTTTTCTTTCGTGCGCTCTTACACTATAATGAAATAAATCATTTCACGAAAGTCAAAGACGTTTCGGCTCATCACTACTTCTTACAGTATGTCATATCGACAAATCATATT